AATTAAACCAAAGCAGTGAGATTCTCATTTTTTTTTTTTTTTTTGGTACCAGGGATCGAATTCTGGATCTTGAGCTTGCAAAGCAGGTGGTAGCACCACTGAGCTAAATCCCTGGCCCTTGATTCCTATTTTTGAAAGTTCAGAAATTAGCAATCTTTGGAGAGTTCATTTTATTGGAGATACCCTCCCCAGAAGCCCAAACACGGACCACTTTGGTAGCTTAGGTTTACCAGTAAGACTAGATCTATTGTTCACAGGAAGGTGTCCATTATGGCATTTGAAAGAATCTCCTCGTCTGCTGAGTTCATGCCAATATATTTGAGGAGAAATCATTGAAGGTTTCCTAATAGAAAAGAATCTTTGCAAATGAAGAACATTGCCTAAGAATGGGCAGGAAACAAGCTCAGAGTGGAAGAATCTGGGCTGAAGATCCTCCCTGTGACAATCATCCTTAAAGCATTGCGAAACCAAGGATAAAACATGCCATAAATAATGGGATTGAAAGTAGAATTAGCATAAGCCAGCCACAGAAAGACATTAGACAAATCTTCTGGAGTTGTAAAATCAATGAAAGGGTCTAAGATTGTCAAGACAAAGAACGGCAACCAGCACACTACAAACACTCCCATGACCATGCTTAGAGTCTTGGTGGCCTTGCTTTCTGTTTTGGATGTCACCTTCATTCTGGTTTCTGAGTCAGCCTGTTTTGTCCTAGGACCTGTGCCAACTTGCTTGGCATGCTTCCTGGCTACTGTGAAAATGTGTATGTAAATCCCCACCATGACTGTCCCAGGAATAAAGAAAGATATAACAGGGGCCAGCACCCCCCAGAGCTTGTTAAATATCAACACACACAAACCTGTGCAGTCAATGGCTGCAATAAAATCTTCTGTACCTACTTCATTTAATCCTGAGAAGACCAGGCCAAAGGCAAAAAACATGGGAACAGTCCAACTGATGACCAGAAAGAACTCTATGACAGGCATAGTGATTTTGGTGACATAGTGCAGGGGGTCACAAACAGCATAGTAGCGGTCAACGGAGATGAAGCAGAGATGAAAAATAGACGTGGTGCAGAGCATGATGTCACAGCAGCTGTGCACTTTGCAGAAGATGTCTCCGAAGTACCAGCAGGAATCGATGGACCTGATCATGCTGAAAGGCATGACCACACAGCTTACCAGCAAGTCAGTGGTGGCCATGGAGAGGGTGAGGAAGTTGGTTGGGGAATGGAGCTGCTTGAAGTGGGTGATGGAAATGATCACAGCCATGTTGCCCAGCATGGTCATCACTATGGAACAGATTATGAAGACGTACATGGTGTAGACAATTGGCATGGGCCTCTCCTTTCTAAGACATGAATTATTGACCGATGGAAAGCAAAACTGTACTTCTGCAAGATTCCCAAGGTCAAGTGAATTCATTGTCTTTGTCTTTTGAGTCCTAAGATGTTTGTTTTGAAACAGCTTTGTTCTTTTGCTTGCTGTGTAAAAAAGATGGAAATCGATCAATGTCACCAGCAGGACAATTTTTAGGTGTCCTGCAAACCTGCATTTCTAATCTAAGTTTAAATTTCCCACTTCCTAAGAGCACTTTTCCCACTCTTTTGTCTATATGCATCACATAAGTTTGGATTCTAAACCATAGATTCCGATTCTGGATTAGAAGCCAAGGCTGCATTCTCAAAAGTTCTCAGGAGAGCCTGATATTTAGTCACCCAATATTCAAGTAGGACAGAAAGAATTCTTCATTTGCTTGTGTAATTGTAATCCGGAGTAAGAGCAGCATAATAGTACAAGTGTTATATGCATCTACAGGGCACTTGGATAAAAAACTTCAAGAATCATCAAGAACTATGTTACTATTTTTCTACGTTTACCTTAAATATTAATTATAATCTGAAGTCTACTGCATTCTTGTTTAAAACTTCCCTATATGAAATGGCAAATGCTTTTGATCCTGCAATTACTACATTCAATTGAAGAAACACTTTTCAAGGTTGAGAGCTGTTTTAAGAACTGAACAGAATTGTATGGAAAATTATATATAACCTAACTATTGTACAATGATACATGAATTATTCCCCCAAAATGACATGGAATGGACTAAAATGATAGATTCTGTAAATCTCACCTGTTATTTCCTTTCATTTAGCAGCCCATTCATAAATTCAAATTCAGGGGAAGGATCTCTGATTCGTAGATTTCAAGTCTTACATTGGTAATTTCACTTATAAGAGTGTGTATTGTTTAATCCATCACTTCAGACCCTGTATTCTCCTTTATTCTTACAGTGTGAATATACTTGGACTGACTCACCTCGAGCATGACATAGATCTGATTTGTTTTTCCAGTCTTGAAGCTTCATTTGTAATTTTGATGCCCAGTGGCAGGCATTTGTGAGATCTGAAACCAGGTCAGGGAAATGAATTTTGATCTAAAAGTAGTCTGCAACTCACTAATCTTTTGGGAAATAAACCTGTAAACACATCCTCAACCAAAGTGACAGGGGAAAGACTGTAATGAGCCTTTGAAATAATAGTCTGCAATTTATCCCACTATTCCCCACAACTATTTCCATGCCTGTGTGTTACTGGAAATCTTATCATGACATGCTTTGCTGGTTCTGAATATAGCAATTTAATTTCTCAGCTAAGTATTCTTCTTTAGATATTTTATTTGTACCAAGTAAATATTATGCAAGTAAGTTACACTTGAGAGATCAAGACAAATCAAACTAATATGTAAGAAGGATAAAAATGTGTTGCTTTACAAGGTGCAGCCCACATAGCACAAACTATTTGTTTTTTACCATTTTAATCTTAAAGTGGCTGAAAATACTGAAATCATAAACTGCTAATTACCTTATGTAAGCAATTATCTTCTTTCATCTTTCTGATTTTATGATTTTAAAATGTTTAAATTATTTTAATTCTTAAAATTACCTTCAAGAGTAGCTACAAATTACAACATGGCTTAAAGAATTTCTCATACAAAATTATCACCTCTTTAATACGTCATTATATACCATTTGAAGTTTTAAATTTTAATTTTAAAAACACAATCCATAAAAGAATTTATAACTTAACACCCTAGTTTATGACATGAGTTTTATTTGTAAACAAAAAATAGAATGAATCACTTTTAGAAATGAGTAGTATTCTCTCGTGCTTCTCCTGCATAGCTATATGCATTAGAAAAATATTTAAATAGCTGGTAGATTAATATAAGACAGGACAAAGTATACACATTTATTTTAAAATTATTGCATAGGTGAATTATTAAGGGAACACCAAACAATAACAATATTATTAACTTAATATTAATTTAATATTACTTAATATTAACTTCTGAGCTTAATTCTTGTCCTAAAATTACAAAAGGAAGAGTAACCAAAGCAAGTGTGACTGCCAGCCTACAACTTGTTAAAAAGAAGCTGTGAAGAGTTGAGGTTTTGTTTGCTATTTTCAAACTTGACAGAATAGAAATCCCTTTTTGTAGATTAACTTTCAAAAAGTTCTACACAGTAATTTTTAACAAAATAAAGTAAAGTCAAACTACTATGACCCAGGGCCAGGGATTTAGCTCAGTGGTTTCGCCCCCTGCTGCGCAAGCGCAAGGACCAGAGTTTGATCCCCGGTACCAAAAAAAAAAAATACTATGACACCTCAATATATCACAAGACATTGTTGCTTCTTTGTTACACTTTTTACCAATAACTTTTTCCCATAAGTAACAGAAACAAGACTAATTTAATTATAATACTAAATACAACCACCTAAGAAAGCATAAAATATTAGTGGCTTTTCTTCCTGGACATAGAGGAAGCGTGTGCTAGCAATTCAGGAAAAGCAAGAGTTGTATAGGTTTTTTTTTTTTTTCCTAGCTGAAATTCAGTCCTTTAAGGGAAGAGATTACTGACCGATGAACCAGACATAAGGACTCTAAAATAATGACTTCCAAAATGCAAAAGTTTCTCAGGATTTTGAGGAAAAATAAATGAAAAGAGAGTATGGAAATTTTTCCTCAAGTTAAAATCCCTAAAATTATGTTTGTGTATGTTTTGCCCTCAAATTAATATAGAAAACATTCAACAACTCAATAGTGTTTTATGAATAAACTTTTAAAATTAAAGAGAGACACATCACATGTGCTTAGCAGGCATGGTTTTTCGTTTTTTCCCTTTTCCCTAGTCCAAAGCTCTACTTCTGGAACTGTTTCTGAAAAAATAATGAATTTTACTTTAATTTGATGTCTCTCACCAATTGAATTGTTTCTGATGTAAGAAAAAGCATTTGTGAAATAACATTTTAAAAGATTTTCTCATTGTCTCCTTAGGATCTCAGAGATTTTTACAAATAATCCACATTGATTTTTCACAGGTCCATATTTCAGATGTGATTCCTTTCAACCTGCAATATAACAAGGAAAAAGTGTGATATTTTCCCGTCTTACTCAGTCCTCCTGTGCTTTACCAGACTGTGCTAGGCAAATGAGGCCATGTGAGTGTCAGTCACGGGCAGGGCGCTCTGCCTCATCAGGGTCTCTTACCCGGGCAGTGAGCATCTCGCCGGCTCCGTCCTCCCCACGCAGGACCCTGTGCAGACGCCCCGAGCCCACACTCCTTCGGGGAGGTCCAGGCCGGCTGTGCTCTCAGCCGTGTTTAAGCACAGAACGCGCCACTTGGGGCCGGGCCGCCCCTGTCCTGCTCTGACAGGTGTGTGTTTTCACACGCTGTGGGCCGCTGCCAACCAAGACATCACAGAAGTCACCAGGGAATTGGCCCTGGGAGGCTGAGTCAGCTGTGGTCTCATTGCTGTGACCTCAGAGCAGTGAAGTGGACAAGCCTCACACAAGGACAAAGGTGGGAAGAGTGAGAAGCAGGAGAGAGAAAGAGACCATGGAGTGAGGGAGAGAGGATGGAGAAAATTTAGTTTAAATCTAACATAAATTCATTCTATTTAATATGTTTGCAAAGCGTAATTTATTCATCGATATCTTTTCCTTGTGCTGCCATGCACCAGCACTTCCTTAAATTTATATCCCATACCTGGGGACACATTCAATGGACCTCAGTTCCTAACTAGATGGAGGGAAGGGTGGCCCTCATGACTGCAGTCCTATTCTTTATGGATTTCTTAACTATTTGAAAAATTTCCCCAACTATCAGGCCAAATATTTAGTGATGTCATTCAGTGTTAGAAAGTCAGTAATTAAAGTACCATGTAGTAATCTGTATTCACTCTTAAATTTCCCCTTTGTAAGCTTACATGATCAAAAATCAACTTATTCTTGATAAAGTCTGCCTCAAAATGTGATCACTTAATTTCTGGGTCAATATTCAGATTTAATATCCAACACTGAAAAATAGTGTGGCAGGCTGTGGGCAATGACCCAGCAGACAGGGCAGTGCTCTGAGAGACAGAGCTGCCCTTGAGAGGCTTTCCTCAGCCTAGCATTGGGCTTTCAATTTTTGGATCATGAAGAAGCTTGGGAGATGTGGAGGGAGAAGCCCGGTGTGGACGGAGAGTAGCCAGGACTTGTGTGGTGACTCACAGAAACAGATATGTAGAAAGTAAGCATCTATACTCACCCCATGAATAACATTGTATTCCCATTGGTAAAATGCCATTGGAACCCTGGGCGAAAGTGGCTCTGTAACGCAGAGCACAGAGCAAGTGGAGAGGCTGGGGTGGGGGAGGACCTCATGTTGAAAGTAGTGATGCTATTTCAGAGAAAGACCTCAGAGAAAGCATTATTCATAAAAGCTTACAGCGATAAGAAGATCTTCCCTTTTCTAAATTCCTAGAGTGGAATCAGATAGGAACCAAAACCACTAGCATTTTGTTTTCCTGATTCTTACATTGACCTTTAATTGTTTCATGGATCAAAATCTTGTCCAACCTGGTCCAAACTATGCTTTATATTTCTTTTGTACATTTTCCACAAGCATCAGAACAAGTGTACACTGGACAGTGTTAACAATTAACAAATGATGGACGTATGGATTGACTGGTCAAATGTGAGAAAAGTAGCTCTTGAACAGGTTATAGAATTGGGATTACTGACATTTTGTAGAGTAACTTTTGCAGCCACCTGGGATGGAAAGTATACACTGCAGGTAAAAATTCCGAAATCTCATTTTTGCTATTTACTTTTATAATGGTTTTTCATTAATGCCCTTCAGGAAATAAATTTGCACTTTCTGAATGATAGCTAAATATTTTTCCTGACACTATATACTTAAGAGCTTTCCGAAACCATGGATAAAAAAAGCCATGAATGAAGGGGTTGCAAGCAGAGTTGAAGTACCCGAGCCACACCAAAAGATCGAGTACTGTTATGGAAATGGAGTAGTCTAAATATGGGTCGATCAGAACAGCAAGAAAGCAAGGCAACCAGCAAGTAAGAAATACCCCAATCACTATACCCAGGGTCTTCGCTGCTTTCCTATCTTTTTTCTTAGATAGATTTTTTTTCACTTCTCCTTTCATGTTTTCAGGCATACTGCTGATGACTAGAGCATGTCGTTTGGAAACAATAAAGATTTTGCTATAAATACCAACCATGATGGAGCCAGGAATAAAGAAACAAGTAGTGAACAATATCCTTCCCCAAACTTTGTTGAAAGTGAGTGCACAGAAGTTGAAGCAGGCAACAAGAATCTCGTAGCTCTGCATACCAGCAACATTGGCCTCGGACAGAACTAAAGCAAAGCTGAAAAGAGCTAGGGCAGACCAGCAAAATGCAAGCAATCACTTTATCATGGAGGCTGTCATTGTGGTTGCATAATGTAAAGGGTAACACACAGCATGAAATCGATCAATAACAATGGAACAGAGGTGGAAAATGGAAGTCAGGCTCAGCATCATGTCAAAACTTGCATGGAATTTACAAAAGCCATCCCCAAAATACCAACAGCTCTCCACTGATCACACCATACTGTATGACATGATGACAAAACCTAGCAAAAGGTCCGTAAAGGCCATGGAGAGGATCAGAAAGTTTGTGGGAGAGTGAAGCTGTTTGAAATGCAATATGGACATCATGATAACCAAGTTCCCTCAGATGGTGATAACCATGGTTCCAGTCATAATAGAGTACATTAGCATTCACACATGAAACTCACAATTGGTGGGAGGACAGGATTTATTTCCAAACTTTGTATAGCTGGATAAGTCTTCAGGAATATAAGTTAGATCCATGGTGCTTCATCACTCCATATTCTGTTCCAAAAAGATCAGTCAATATTTCTTCTCTTCTGAATATGATTTCAGCAAATGTCAGATCCTAATAGTAAAATACAGTTCAAAGCTATCTGTTATTAATTCACTTCATTTGTGATTTATTGAAATATTTAAAATTATATCAACTATGTTTGCTTTCTGTATGAGTTGCTGAATTAGAAAAATGAAAAATTTCAACTGCTTATTCTTTCCTATATAATTCTATTCCATCCATCCATCCATTCATTCAACATACAATTAACTGCTCCCTTCCTATAGTGTATTGAAATTTTTTCAAGAGTTTTGGGTTGGCATTCACCTTGAGCAACCATTTTCCTAGAAACTTTTGAACTATAATAATCTTTTGTAATATACACACGCACACATGCACAAAGTCTAAATGAAGTCACAATTTTTTTCGCCATTCACTCTTTCAGTAATGTGAATTCTTCATTTCCAAAAAGTTTACAGATGTTTTAGAAATGAGAAATGGCACATTTCTGTGAATTATGCAGTACCAGGAAATACAGTTTTTCAACATGGCTGTTGAACGCCATATACTTGTGGGCTAAACCATGTACCAGGGTCACGTTCATTTCTTCTCTATTTTCTACTCCTTCCCCTTTCTTCTTCTGACCCTTTCATT